GGCTCTTGCGGTAGTACTATTGCTAGGCTACTCTGGGCATGTCTACATGTGTGCTTTAATGCACATTAAAGCATCACTAGGGGCATTTATACACATGCTTCGGGAATGAGGGGGGAGGTCACTTTAATTAGAGTGGCTGTCAGGGCTGCTCTAATTAAAGTGCCTGGAGTGTTTTGTGTATCAGCATCCCCGTGCTTCAGAACGGCTGGCGGGGGGGCTTTATCTAAAGTCAAATGATCTTTAGTTAAAGCTCCCCCACTGCCATTCTGCAGCATGGCGATGTTGATACACGAGACACAGAGGGTGGCTGGAGTGTGGTAATTGCCACGCTCCAGGAGACTCGATTAACTGGATCTGCTCCGACGCGCTGTAGTTACAGTGTGTGGGAGCAGCCTCCTGGTTGGTGTATGGGCACCCAGTGGTACTAGATTTAATGTGCATGAACTAAAGTGCGTTAATGCACGTGTAGTTGCACCCTCTCTCTGAGTACTTTATTTAGCTGGACTGAAGCTAGCTTGGGTATGTTCACACTTACAATCACTTCCTGCTTAGTGCAAACCTCAAACAACTTGCTTTGAAGCCAATGGCATTGGGATCCATATGGTTTAAAGGTCACGGGCAATGGTATTATGGTGGGGCCCATGATATACCCAGTCAGATAAGGAACTCCACAGCACACTGCACAGACAAAAGCAAGTCAAAATGTTATCTCATTTTCAGTTGGGCACCCTGGTGCCTTGAGCTGTGGTTCACTTCTTAGTAACTCTTTATTTTCTTCCCTTGAAGCTTGCTTTTGCCATGCGAAGGAAAGTAACACTTCTGCTCTGCAACCCAGTCAGCTGCCTCTGCTAAGGAAAAGAAACTGCTGAAGATCTTTCTAGCCACCTGCTTCTGGCTGGAGACAAATTTCAAATGCCGGTCACCCACGTCTGGCAGTGATAGAGGAGGGTAGATATATTGTCTTTACTAATAGGTGTGTTGTTCAGAAGAATTCCTCTTTGCAGTTGACCATTGCATTCAAAAGTCTTTAAATATAAAGTGCATGATGTTCTTTGGCTAAATCAATATAGTGGGTGGTGATCCGTCTCCTCGCAGAGCTATGACCAGCAGCTGGAGAAGGGTTTTTTTTTTCTTTTAGATATTTTCCAACTTTTTTTTTTAATTTCAAAAAGTAGATTTGACAAGAGCATCCTTTCAACCAATAAACAGAATCACATCCCAAATATAGTGGCAGGGGTGAGGAAAGCAGGAAAATCCCCAGTCAGAACTAGAGGTTTCCTGACTATAAATATTCAATAACCTCCCAGCCAGGGACTGCATTCCCCCTTCTTTCATTTGTCTGGGGCTTGCTAAATACGTCTATGACATGCTATTTATTTCGGGATGCAGCGATCCTGGCATGCCTCCTGTTTCACAACTAGATCACTACCACTCTGTGTGTTGAGTAAAGCCGGGCTCTTCACGCATGAAGCCACCTTTAGTTTTTATTCTCCCATTTTTCTCTCCATTCAATTTAGGCTTCATTTACACCCATAGAATCCTATCAAAAAAGCCAGAGTTGAATGGAGGTGCACAGTGCTGCCTATGTGGACAAATACTGGGTGTTGCAACTGGAGTGCGAAGGGGAGATGGATGCGATGAATGCGTTGGCTTGGTCTTGACTGAAATCGTCTATTAAGTATCTCCATGAATGAGCACTGATAGGTAATTGTGAAAGGAAAGAAGAATAATTTAGCCTTAGAATGACTTATCCCTGATTTCCCAGGAATATAGCAAGAGATCAGATTATTGCCCAGCCTGGTCCAAGGTCCTTGCCTACAGCTCCAGACTAAGATGGAAAATAATGAACGTAGCAGACTGTGAGGGAAGAGGAATCCCTTGTAGAAACCCATATCTCAGAAGCATGAGATTTGATTACCTGATCTCGACATGGTTCTTTGGGGAAACCTTTTTATTAGACCAGCTAACAAAAGACATCAGATTTACCCAAAGAACCTTGTCTGCCTGTGTCCTTAGACCAACATGGCTACAACCTACACCCCTATCACCTTATCTTTGCATACATGCAATGGCTCAGATCTGGAGCTACAGCCGCATTATGCCTCAGAAACTACTTCTAATTGATATGATTTGCCCCTGCCTAGGAATTTGGCAAGGGGAGGGGGGAAAGATGAGCCCTTCATCAGGGCAAATACTCCCATGTTTGGGTCTATGGGGATTAAGGCTGCTTTGTGTGACCAGAACAGCACAGAGCATTCAGGCTGGCACTAGACGACCCAGTCCTGCAGTTGCAAAGGTTAACTTAATTTATTCCTTTTAAAAATAAAATCTAGATGCTGACTTGCTAATGCGGAGAATTCAACAGGATAAATGTGTAATCGGAGGTGCCACAGAGTGGTGGGATGAGCACGTGGTTCGGATTGAACAGCTCTTGTCTTCGGTCCCAGTGTTGTCGCTGACTTGCCTCCGGCAAGTTACTTCAGCTCCCTGCCTTGGCTTTCCATAAGTTGGTTTTCAAATGTAGATAATAGACGTCTTACCTAGCTGATGGGTGTAGAGCGACCGTCAGAACTGCTCTTCACTGGATCAGACCATACGTCCATCCTCCTGTGTCACACCAGGGCAGAGAGCGGATGCTGAAAGGGAGAATGACCTGGGGCAGATCAGGGATGTATTTGGTAGCCGTGTTGGCCTGAGAGAAAAAGAAATGCAAAACTCTACAAATCTTGGTTCAGAGATGATACCTTTTATTAGACCAACAGAGAAATTGCAAAAAAACCCAACAAAAAAACTTCTTCTGCAAGCTTTCAGGCACACACACACTTCCCCGGACTCAGGGAAAATTAAAGATGGTAAAAAGTCCCCATAGGTAGGAAATAGCAGGTGGGTCAGATCAGGGTTTTCTCCACTGTTCCTCTCTCCCTTGCAGCCTCCAGCGTTTAAGGCCTAGGAGGTTGCAATTCAGAGGCTGCGCCCCTCACTCCCATGCCCCTTTCCTCCAAGAATTTGTCCAGTCCCCCTGTGAATCTGGTTAAACTGCCACATCTGGTGGCAATGAGGAAATATCTGATCAGTCTTTTGGACACGTTAATCAATGTATGTACGCTAAGTCTTATTCTAGGAGCTGTGAGTTTACAGTAATTAAATACCTGTCCAAAAACAGAAAGAGGAGTTTTTATTTTGCACTGTTGTGTACCTTCCATCATCTTTTACGCTGCTCAGATGTTCCCATTTTCATCGGTAATGCATTACACCCATTTTGCACATACATAATTGACCACACAAAGTGCAAACCAGTGGAGAAGTAAACCAGGTCCCCCTTAAATTGCAGGAACGGTGGCATTTTATGACGTACAGTAAGCTCTGCTGACATACATTTATTCAAGCTCTTGGTTTCCCATTAAAATTGCACATGTGAAAGAAGAATGGGACAACTGTATTTACTCGCTATTAAAAATCAGAGTGTTTTAGGTTAGGATTTTGGTTAACAGTTGAAAAAAGGTCAAAAATTATGTGTGGGTTGTTTTTTTGTTTAAACGAAAGCCACCATTTTAAACCCACCAAAAATGTTTTGTCTATTTTTAAAACTGTATCTGAGAAGCGTTTAAGTAAAGCAAGCACCTGCTCATAGCTTGTTACAAGACATGTATAACAGCAAAGGAAATGATGTGAGATGCGTCACTGCTTTCTTTTGGTAAACAGAAATAATGTAATTATTCACATCCATAGCAAGGGCAATTTCAGCTAAATACAACAATGCTGTAACAGGAAGCCACATGCGGTAGAAACACGGGCTTTTGGTGTGCTGACGGCAGGGTCTAGTTTTCTGGCAGTTCAGCGAAACCAGAAGTCAGGGGGTTTTGTACCCAGGCCTTACTGGACCTTGCTGATGCTGTTTTTCTCTCCTTGTGCTGGATGAGTACAAGGTAAAAAGTCCCTTGATCCCACTCTGAGTTCTTCACTGCCCTAAGCAAAATTCACTGCATGTTTTCTACATTGTGAGCTCAGCTGAGCTCTCTGCGTACTCAAAGAAACGATCCAAAAAAGAGAGCACAGTGATTGCCTTATCCACAGGGGCTCATATTTGGAGTGAGAGAGTCACCTGTTCATGACGCCTAGGTTTGCAAAGAGAAGCTAGCCCTTCTGAAGGTCACTTATTAGATAATCAGTGCTGGGTGGATCAGTGTTGATTAGGGCTGATCTTCCTCAGCTGTCTGCCTTTCTCTGCACAGAAGTTGAAATTCCCAGAGCCGCAGAACACACTGTGCACTTGAACTGCTACTAGGCAGGTATTAGCTCAGCATCTAATTTTATCACCGAGCCAACACTTCATATATGCTCTCACAGAGCTCGGAGAGTGGAAAGCAAGAGTAGGCCTGTTATACCACAAGGGTCACATTGCTTTAGAAAAAAAAATGCATTGAGTGTTGCTAGAATTCAATTTTGT